AAACAGGTAAACCAGTATACCTGTATGTACGAAGCCAGTGAATGTTATTCAAGCCAAAGAAACTGCATCTATTTATATAAATACACATGGACAGAGAATATTTTCTTGGAGCACTAAATGTGACAATTGCCCTACTGTCTGTGATAAATATACCACACCAGCTACATAGTGCACGACGAGGAGTTGGGTAGGTAGTGAAGAAAAACATTGACTGAAGCCTGGCAGAGGACTGAATTGTTGTCAACAGCAACAAACATACTGGGAAAGTCAAAGACAGTGAAAAAACAAACAAAAAAAAACACACAGGCATATAAATACTAACTTTTTAGGATCTTTATTGGCTCCAAGTAATCCAGAGTTGAACAAGATGAATCAACTCGACCACAACAGCAATTAAAACAGCTTGCTGCATTATAAGTATCACTTCCCTGTCAAATTAGTGGTTCATGTTTGAATCTCAGCCAATTCTATCACACCTTGCTAGGCTCGAACTTCCATCCAATCAGAGCATTCCAAATAAACATGATTCCCCACAAATACTAGAGGGCGCTCTGACCAACAAATTGCTATTATCTAAATAAAAAGAACTGATATATATATATATATTATATATATATATATATATATATATATATTTACACGTGCCTTTGGTGGACCTTTATTGGATTAGATAATGTTGCGATATTCGAGGAACTGATCATGAATCCAAAATTTGACCATATTTAACCATTCACCATTAGTTACAATAGTAACAAGTACTCGTTGATTCGCAAAATTTCATCTGGTTACATCTGTAAAAAAAAATCATATTTATGGTTGTCATGTCAATCCATGTTTGTATTTTTCAAATCAAGACTTTTGAACTTGAAAAAAATTGTGAAAATTGTCCTTATTGAGGTCATGAATGGAAAATAAAATCACTTGCCCACAGGAGCAGAAAATTGCCTTCTTTGAATAAAAATAAAGTCAAGAGTTGGGTTTCAATCACTCCCTACAGTATAATGGTATCTGCCACAGAATTTTCTCATTTGGCTAAAAAAAAGTCACCATTTGTTACAGTAGTATACTTTATTTATATTTTACGTACTGAAACAGTTAAAATAACTGAAAAGTCCTTTTTAAAATACAAATGTATTAAATTCTGACTGATTTGAAATGCAGGTTTTGGGAAAATTGTCACTGAAAACCAATTGATTGTAAAACACCACTGCATACAATGCATTGTTCACATGCTATAATGACAATAATAGCTCAACAATTTTAAATCAGGTGGAGGTGCAGCATTTATTAAAAACAAATCG